CCCGGTGTTCCCTCCCCTCCCCTCCCACCCCTAGTTCTCTCACCACTCTTGCCCTATTTTCTCCATTCTTGGTCAGCTGGACTTCTTGCAATTCCTGGAACGCTCCAGCTCTCTCTTATCCTTGCACATTCTGTTTGCTCTGCCAGAACATACTCACTTTCTCTCTCTCACCTGGCTGACTAATTTTCAGGTCTCAGCTTAAGTGTCACTTCCTTAGGGTGGTTTTTTCCAAAGTCCCTAAACAGAGTTAGGTCTTTCCACAATCCCGTAGCATACAGTACTTCTCCTTTCTTACGCTTGTTATTTAATATTTAATATTTCTGCCAGATAGGAATCTCCGCTGAAGGCAGAGGCCTTGTCTGCTTGTTTGGGTGTTATATCCCCAGTGTGTATAGCACAGTACCTGCCCCACCATAGATAATTAAATAAATTTTAGTTGTTTGAATCCAGGCTGTATTTCAATACTTAGTAAAACTGTTAATTTATAAATAATAAGATTATTGGAAATACTTAAAAATACATGGAAAAAATAAAACTCATTTAAAAATTTCATTAATACCTTTTCATATAAGTGTTTACCCTTTTTTTGGATCAGATTAATTAAGCAAGAAATAAATCTTGTTGCAGTATAACCTTCTTTTGTTTACTATTAAAAGTAATTATGTTGAGCAACTAGAATTAATAGCTTCTGTTTTATCCTTCACAGGTGGAATTTCTGGGATCCATCTTTACAGAGACAGTTTGATGAAGATTATTCCTATCCTGAACTAGTGAAAGTGGTTTGGTACAAGGGTATTACATATAGGTGAGACACCTGTGTTGCAGTCAGAGCTATTTATTGGGGTCACACAAGGGACAAGGCTAGCCTTGTAGACAGACTCTCATGAGATGACAGTCCTGTTGGGACCACCATGTTCTTGTGTTTGGTCTGGAGTTTTACAGGTCTCCAAACTTAACTTTATCAGTACACACAGGGATCTTGTGACTAACTCAAATTACCTGAGTTCACAAGACTTATGTGAAGCAAAAATCCAGTGAAGGATCAGTTGTGCTGGTAAATGAAATACTCCTATCAGCTATTTTGGATACCCTTCCAAGCATCATGGGATTTACCTATATGAATTACTCATCAGGTTGTTACCTAGTAAGCATGGAATTAGGGAATAAGTTAGGGAATCTTATGGGAGATTTCAGCCTTCATTCACATAGGAAATATTAACTAGCTGCTGTGTGCCAGGCACTATTCTGTTGAGTCATCCCTAACCCACAACAAAGTACACCTACCTGTCTGGTTTTGGCCAGATTCTAAGTTTCACATCCGTGAATTACGCTGTTGTTGTTGTTGTATGTGCCATCGAGTTGGACCTGACTCATAGCGACCCCTCCTTGGGTTTCTGAGGCAGTATCACTACGGAAATAGATTGCCCAGGCTTCCTTCTGAGGAGTGACTGGTGGGTTTGAACCTCCGGCCTTCTAGTTAGCAATCAAATGCCTTAGGCACTGTGCTACCAGAGCTCCTATTGAATTATGCTAGAAGAGCATATTTAACTTTTTGTTCTTCAGGCTGTCTTTTTCCTGAATGAAGACCCACTCTGTTCTGACAACATATTCTTCATACATGTTTCAATAAAATTGATTTGGCTTGACTTATTTATTTTTTTTAATGTTAGTTGTGATTTGGGTGAACATTTACAGAGCAAATTCATTTTCCATACAGCAGTTCACATACACTTGATTTGGCTTAACTTTTTATATTATACTATATATCCAGGGAGCTCTGGTAGCATAGTGGCTAAGGCACTTGACTGCT